AAAAGAATAAAATAAAATAAAAATAAAACAATAAAATAAAATAGAATGAAATACAATAAAAGAAAACAAAATAAAATACAAAAGAATAAAACAAAATAAGATAAAATTGAATAAAACAAAATACAATAAAAACAAAATAAAATACAATAAAAGAAAACACAATAAAATACAAAAGAATAATACAAAATAAGATAAAATTGAATAAAACAAAATACAATAAAAACAAAATAAAATAAAATGAAATACTGTACAATAAAAAAACTACACTAGAATAAAATGAAATAGAATAAATGAAAATAGAATACAGCAGAATAAAATAAAGTACAATACAACAGAATAAAATAAGATAAAATACAATAGATTAAAATGAAACTAAATGAAATAGAAACAAAACTAAATAAAGATAAAATACAACAAAATAACATAAAATACAATAGAGTAAATCAAAATAGAGTTGGATAAAACACAGTAAAATAAAATAAAAAATAAAATAAAAAGAAATATACAGATGGATGAAGGAGGCTGTTTGTAGCAGTTTCTGATGAACAAAACAAACACATTACTGGTGGTACTCAAACACAACATTTTCAGTTTATTTATAATTAATTGAGTCAATTAAATGTCTTTACAATAGTGTAAACTGCCCGTCACAAGTTCACAGACTGTGAGGTGACATCCTTTAAACAGACCACGACCCAGAGTCAGTGTTTGATGATTTAAGTGAGAACATGTTTATGTTGTTCAGTTCACACATCACCACAGACATATATTCTTATATCTGCTGACACCAGAGCTTCTCTCTCTAACAACATTTGAAATCAGCATCGCTCCCTGGTATGAAGGATGTTTTCTCACAGACGGAGAACAGAAGTCACCGGTGGCTGCTGTTACGTTGTGATTATGAGTGTTTGTTCTAATAATATTACCCAGCAGGCGTCACAGACATTACAACGAGTATTTTGGGATGCAGAGACTGCGAGCGACGAGTTGATGATTTGGCGTATTTAACGGCCGCCTGGGGAGACTGAACTGAGACAGTTTCAGAGTTTTGTTTTCAGAGGCCTGAAGGCAGCACAGCTGTTTATACTCTGATGTTAACTCTCTGTCCTCCTCCTCCTCCTCCTCCTCTCTGTCCAGGCTGAACGTCATCTTCAGTAAGTTTGATGAAGTCCAGAGGTCGGGGAACATGGTGCTGTCACCTGTGTCAGGTAAGATCTCCTGCTCTACCTGCAGGCTGCAGCGTGATGAGCTCTGTGATGTTGTGTTGTTTGTTGTTGTTGTTGAGAGCCTGCGGACACAACATGTGACACCCTCTCACACTGCACCACTGTCACAGGGTTTTAACAGACTGTGGATGTGTATGACAACGGATAAAACATGGCACAAACGCCGTTTAAATATACAGCAAATGTTTTTATGCCTCTGTGCTGACGACAGCCACGGCCAGAGGCATTATGTTTCCGGGATGTCCGTACATCCATCCCATCCTTGTAAACACGATATCTCAAGATACTTCTTCAAATTTGGCACAAACGTCCACTGGGACTCAACGATGACCTGATTAAGTTTTGGTGGTCAAAGGTCACTGTGACCTTGCATCCATCCCATCCTTGTGAACGAGATATCTTAAGAAAGCCTTGAGGAAATTCTTAAAGCTTGGCACAGACATTTACTTGGACTGGAGGATGAAGTGATTAGATATTGGTTGTTACAGGTCAGACTTCAAGGTCAAGGTGGCTGTGACCTTGTCTGTCTCATTCTTATGTATGTGATATCTCGAGCATACCTTGAGAGAATGTCTTAAAGATGGCATAAATGTTTACTTGGACTGGAGGATGAACTTGTTAGATTTGGATGATTATAGGTCAAACTTCAAAGTCAAGATGATCGTGACCTTGTCTGTCTTATTCTCATAACGAGATCTCAAGAACACCTTGAGGGAATTTCTTAAAATTGGCACAAATGTTTACTTGGACTCAAGGATGATCTGGTTAGATTTTGGTGACCAAAGGTCGCTCTAATTTTGCATCCTTTTCATTATCATGAATACAGTACCTTAAGAACAGCTTGAGAGATTTTTTTTGCAAATTTGGCACAAATGGGCACTTATGACAGTGGTCAAAGGTCAAAGTCAATGTGACCTCATCTGTCTCATTCTTGTTATCGCGATATCTCAAGAACACCTCAAGGGAATTTCTCAAATTTGGCTTAATCGTGTACTCTAGGTTAGATTTTGGTGGTCAAGGGTCAAAGGTCAAGGTCACTATGACCTTCTCTGTCTCATTCTTGTGAATGTGATATCTCCAGAGCACCCAAATGGCATTTCTCAAAATTGGCACGAACATTACTTGGACTCGAGTATGAACTGGTTAGATTTTGGTGGTCAAAGGTCAAAGCCACTGTGACCTTGTTGATCTCATTCATGTGAACGTGATATCTCTAAACTACCATAAGGGAATTTCTTAAAATTTGGCACAAACATTTACTTGGACTCGAGGATGAACTGGTTAGATTTTGGTGGTCAAAGGTCGCTGTGACCTTGTCTGTCTCATCCTTTTAAATGAGATTTTTGATCGTCTTAGGTAGAGGCAGACGTTTTAAATGTAAAAACATCAGAAGGACTGAGACAGTATCGTCCATCAGAGCATGTTTCAGCGGGGACACCCTGCTCCTGGTCTCTTCCAGTCTCTCCCGGTCTCAGCGGGGTGTGTTCGCTGTCTTTCAGTCAGAGCGTAACCTGAGCTGGTTTCTTTGTGCTGCGGGAGGCGACGAGCTTTCAGCCGCCTCCCTGCAGGAACAGTGCGTGGTTTCTGCAGATGATATCACATCCTGAGTCCGTCCCCTCTGGATCAGACTGAGTGACATCACATGGATCTGTTTGGCCCCCCAGGCCGGAGCTGACAGGCCCCATCGCTGTGGTCAAAAGGCTCAGCTTTCATCTATGGGGCCCCTCGGATTAAAATAAAAAGAGCTTCCTCTGAGGAAACAACATGAATTTGTCAGTGAGATAATCTGACATGGAGGGAGGAGCTCTACCTGTTTATCACGTCCTTCATCGGGGTCGAGTCAGGGGCAGTTCACGTACGACGGAAATGTGACGGCACGTTGTTTTCACAATTAAAGCATTCAGTAGTTTACATGTGAAAAGCAGCAGTAGCTTAAAATTAGTGGACAGCAAATTAGTGCTTGCTTGTTGATGGGGATTGGTCGGCTTACAAATTTCTACTGTTGGTAAACTGTGTCGTCTGAGAAAGCTGGTTGCATTGATTGATTTAAAAAATCTCTTTTTTTCTCTTATTGTTAGTTTCTCACTGTTTTCATTTTTTATTTGTATATAATGATATTATTACTCGTATCACAGTTTATGAAATGTTTGTTTTTCTATTTTTATTCCATTTTTATTACGTCTTCATTTCTGTTGACTAAATCTTTTTTTTTATTATTATTTTTATTATTTTCTTTTCTTTTTTTATCACCATTACTATGTCTCTGTTTGATTTAATTTTAATCATTATTCATTTTTATCATTTATATAATCATTTATTTATACATTTATTTTTATAATTTTCTATTGTTTAATATTCATTTTTTTAATTTTTTTTTTTTTTTGCCATTTTTATGATCACTATTACCAGCTCTATTTTATTTCATTTTTGTCTTTGATCATTTATTTTTTTCTATTTCTTGCTTTCTATTTATTTTTTTTTCTTCATAATATTTTATCTTCTTTTTTTAATTATTCTTTTTTCAGTTAAGTCTCTTTTACTTAATTTTTATATCATCATTATTTTTTCTTAATTTGTTTTCACTTTTATCTTTATTTATTTATTTTACTCTGTTTATTTATTTTTTATTAATAATATTTTGTTATTTTTTTGTATTTACTATTATTACTTTTTAATTTCTTTTATTAATTTTTTTATCATCATCAGTATTTCACCTCTTTTTTCTATCATTTTTTCTTTTTAATTATTTTTATTAATAATATTTCATATTTATTTATCTTTTTGTTTATTTATTCTTTTTTTACTTAATTTTTGTTATCACTATTGCTATTTCTCAAATTTGTTTCATTTTTATTTTTATTTATTTAATTATTAATATTTAAAAAAATCTAATTATAATATTTTGAATTTTTAAAATTATTTTAAATAAAGTTGTACTTAAATTAGTTTTTGTGACTATATCTCTATCGCTATATTTATCGAGGAATTACTGTGGTATCTTTACTTGTATGGAAATGGGAAATGAAACTTAGATACAGAAAAATTCAATAAATGAACATAAAAATAATAATAATGATAAAAAATAAACTGGTGGGGGAAGAAAAAAGACGAGAGAGAGAGAGACGACTGTGACAGCTGAGAATTGTTCAGAGCAGAAAATAAGAAACTAAAACTCCTTTAAGCTACAGAGAGAGAGAAACAAACACAGGAAGAAACAAACTGTAAAACTGAGAGTAGAGGAGAAAGACTGAGGAAATGGACTCCTTCCTCTGGCAGCCCAGGGCTCTTATTTTGTAGGAGCTCTGTCAGCTGTTGTCCCCACAGTCACAAGACCAGGTCTGAGGGGAAGGGAGGAGGCAGGCAGCAGTGCCTCCGCTCTGTGTCGCTGTCAGGACGCCACTGCAGCTCCGCAGGGGGAAGGTATCGCCTCGCAGAGTCAAGCCGGATCCCTGCAGGTAAATCCACCCTGTACACGACGAAGAACAGACATTCAGACGTGCAGAGAGAATATCCAGCCTGCTGTCCATCTGTGTCGCTGGTGCAGAAACAGGTTATTACCCGACTCTCTTTGTGCGCACTGATAATTACACTGGGATCATAATTGGGACCTGAATGCCACAAGTAACTGGAGCTCAGTGATGCGTTCAATGCCGCTCTGCTCGCCTGGTGCTTCAGCCAAATATGTAGATGATGTGAGTTATTCTGGCAGAAAAAAAAACCTTATACGTGACTTTAAGTTGATTTTAAACTGCCTGTGTTGTGTTAAGCGTTATGATAATCCAGATATGGTTAAATTAGAGGCATAAAAAGCTTTAAAGATGGTTTGTTTTGGGAGATCAGCTGATATAAGCGAGTGTGTGTGAAACGTATCCTGCAGACTCGACAGTCCTCAGTCACGGCAGCTTTCAAGTCCCTTTAATAAATAGTTTTATCACAGACAACCAGCCCGAAGGTATTTAATTAAACAGTATTTCCATTATTCCAGCTAATGTTGTAACCAACGTAAATATGGGTTTTTTTGCTTAAAAATTAGGCTAAAACGTTTCATCTGTTTTCAGAGTTGCTGCCCCAGCACAGGTGACAAAATATTCAACTGATAGAGAACGTTACAGACACCAGTAACGTACAAATATGTCTTTATTGTGTAGTTGAGTGTGCGGGAATTAGTGCCATCTAGTGGTGAGGCTGCAGATTGCAACCAGCTGAAACTTCTCCTGGTTCATTGTCTTGTGTGGCGATCAGTGATGTAACAGGCTCCGAATCCGAGACATCATCACAACTATTTCTGTGACATAATTCCATGCACCTAAAAGCATTTGAACACAACATAAAAACGTTAAAATTTACCCTCACCTAACGCACATTTTTACTGAATAGAGCTTAAACTTATCGTAAAGTAACTCAGTGTAACCTTTGTTAGCTGTTAGCTCCGGCAACTGGCTGCTAACAGCTAACAGCTAATGTTAACCAGCTCTCTTCCTGTTGATCTAAAACGTAGCATTATCAGGGAAACAATAGGGCGCGTAACTTGACATGAAGATAGTAAGTTTAGACAGTGATTCCGAGGTTTTGATTCAGATTTGGAGCGACATTTAACCTTTCTGTTACCTCTCGACAACTGATACAAATTCGTTTTTATGTCTGGAACCTCTCGTCTACAACAGGCTTGAGATGCGCCCACGCTTTGAGGGCTTGGCTCAGATTTTACTCCTTAAGGAATCTGATCCCGTTTGATTGTGACTGCATGCCTTTGCTGAACCCTGGACCTTCCACACACTAGGGTTGTTCATCTGACCCAATAGGGCGCGTCCTCTGATATGAAGATAGTAAGTTTACGGCGTCCCAACAAGGTGGATATTTGCTGATACCGAATTGTTGCAGCCCTAGAAAATAGCCATGATGTTATCATCTTGCGGGTTGGAGTCAGTTTGATACCTAAGAGATGTTAAATGTTGTATTTAACAGCAAACTCATCCATGACT